AAAGTCTTCTAGAATATCAAACCTCCAGAAAGATATGGGTTCCTACATAGCAAGATTTTGAATCTTACTTAGTGGGAGTAGATGATCATGGTGATGATCGTAGAAACTACGAAGCAATACTGGATAGAGATTCAGGAAAATGGTTGGAAGCGATGGATTTTGAGATAAAATCAATGCATGCCAATCAAGTATGGTCACTTGTGGATCCACACCAGAGGGAATAGTTCCTATAGGTTGCAAATGGGTCTACAAGAGAAAAGTTGGCAAGGATGGGGGGTAGAGACCTTCAAAGCTCGACTGGTGGCGAAAGTTATACTTAAAACAAGGATTGGATATGGGAAACCTTCCGCCTGTAGCTATGATTAAATCCTCTGTATAATGCTAGCCATTGTAGCATACCATGATTATGAATTTGGCAGATGGATGTCAAAACCTTTCCTCAATGATTTATTAAGGAAAACATTTTATGGAACAACCGATAGGTTTTGTATCCTCTGCTGAAAAGCATAAGGTATGCAAATTGCATTGATCCATTTATGGATTGAAGCAAGCTTCAAGAAGCTGGAACATTCGATTTGACGACATAATCAAATCATTTGGTTTTGTCAAGAATCCGGATGAACCCTGTGTATACAAATGGGTTAAAGATCATGCCATCACATTTCTCATACTATATGTAGATGACATATTTTTGATGGGAAATGACATAGGCATGATGATAGAGGTTAAAGTTTGGTTGTCCAAAACCTTCTCGATGAAAGACTTAGGAGAAGTGACCTATGTCCTTGGCATTCGTGTCTATAAAGATAGAACAAAAAGGGTAATTGGATTATCCCAGAAATTGTACATAGAGAAAATGCTAAAAAGATTTAGCATAGAGAACTCTAAGAGAGGTCTCTTACCTTTCACTTACGGTCTTTATCTTTCCAAGGAGATGGGTCCAAAGTTAGATGAAGAGCGGCAGCGGATACGTAATGTGCCTTATGCGTTTGTCGTAGGCAGTTTAATGTATGCAATGCTATGTACAAGACCTGATATAACTTATGCTGTAAGTGTCACGAGCAGATATCAGTCAAATCCAAGGGAGAAACATTGGTTGGTTGTAAAATCAATCCTTAAGTACTTGAGAAGAACTAAGGATCTAATTTTGAGTTATGGATGTTCATAGTTAAACATTCAAGGATACTCAGATTCTGATTTCCAATCAGATATTGATGATAGAAAGTCTACGTCAAGGTACATTTTTATATATAATGCAGGTGCTGTTAGTTGGAAAAGTTCCAAATAGACAACCACAATAGACTCTACTATAAAAGCTAAATACATTGCTACTTCAGAAGCAGCAAAGAAGGCTGTTTGGATACGAAAGTTCATAATTGAACTTGGTGTGGTTCCAAACATGGCTTACCCGATAAGCATGTTCTGTGACAATACTAGAGCTATTGCACAGGCAAAGGAACCAAGGGCACACCAAAAATCCAAACACATTCAGCGCAAGTATCACATTTTTAGAGAATTAATTCATTAGAGCTGGAGAGATTATAATTCTGAAGACACCTTCAGCAGAAAATGTTGCTAATCCACTAACTAAGGCGATGACACTGAAGCAATTGGACCATCATTTTGAGAAGATTGGTATGAGATATAACATCGAATGGCTTTAGTGCAAGCGGGAGTTTGTTAGTGTATATTAGTGTATGCCCTAGAAACCATTCGTGTTGTCGATTTCAGAGCATTTTGTCTTATATCAATATGTATCATAAATAATAGAAGAAAGAGTTCTTCAATTCATATATATAAATTGCTTCCTTTATTCAGTCATGCATTTAAAATAAAGTATGTATATGAAATTCATATATATAAATTGCTTCCTTTATTCAGTCATGCATTTAAAATAAAGTATGTATATGAATTGTCTAGATGATTCATTTAATCGGTAAATGAATTATCAAAAAAAGGTTCCCCACGGAAGCAACATAATTTGGGCAATTATATTGCATAGTAGGCATACATGATGCTTTCGAAAGATATCATGAGTTGATATAAGTACGGATGATGATGATAGTCATGTCACTGGGGCATTGGTATGGATTAGCGGTTGGTGAACTATTTTTCGAACATGACTGAATAATGACAAATCACTTGGAAAAGCATGTAGTCAATGATTTATCGGTTAGTTATATCAGTGCACGATGTAGTCCTTTGACCTGAGACATTGTGGTCAGATCCGATACAGATGCGTATGGTTCATACAGTGTATAAATACGAGACTAGTCATGTTTTGTATGATAAAGCCTATTTGGTCATGTGTTGTTCATATGCGGAAATGAACGATGGTCAAGAAGGGATCCATTGACTCGAAAATATAGGATCGGGAGTACCGCTGACTCCATCCGGATTCAAGTTCCTAGACGAACATCGTTATATGTCGAAAATCGGAATCTTTGGCCAGAGTCCATTATTAGTCATACAAAAGCAAGTTTGTGATGACGAGTTCCAGACATATTAATCGACGATTTGGTAGAAGATCGAGTTCAGGATTTTAACGTTCCATGAATCCATGCTTGATTAGGATATTTCAATGGAGGGACTTTACTTGCATGGTACGTATGATCTGAAATGGGTTCGATGAAGTATTTCTTCATCGTGGTTTAGGGACTATGGCACATTGCTAGATGTTTATCATAGTCGTTGGGCCTCAAGACAGGTTTCCGGATTTATCCAGTATCGGCTCACGGCTAATCCACGGTGGACCTACATGGTCACACCAATATCCTTAAGAAGTTAGAGAAGGATGAGAGAGAGAAATGATTATCCAAAGAGGGCTAGCACCTTTCGAGGGTAATGACGGGATTTCTATGGTAATAGTTACGTAGAAAATTGTTTGTGATATTTTAAGAGTTAAAATGATCAAGCAATAATTAATTATATTTAATTATTATATCTTAAAGCGTTAAGATTAATGAGATGAACGAAAATAACCTTTTAATAGTTAAAGGGTAAAAGGGTAAATTTATGGGTTGTTAATGTAAACTAGTTTAGTTTACATGGGCCCTTGAATAATATTGATTATTCAAAGGTAGCATAATAAATTTGTGGGGTCCCTTTTAAAATAAGATTTTATTGGGCTTAGAAGTGAAAAACAAATAATTACAAAATTGCCCAAGTCTATATAAATGCAAAAGGTTGCATTTTAGTTCATTATTCACATAGTTCACTCAAAGCAAACTAAAAAGCTCTCTCTCCCTAGCCACGGCCACTCTCTAACTCTCTCAAGATGGTGTTAAAGTGTGGAGGTCTCATCATTTTGAGGCTAATCTTCATCAATCCAAAGCAAAAGAGTAGGTATAATTCTTTTTCCCAAGCTTTGATTGAAAACGGTTTTTTGAGTCTAACCTTTCATGCTTTCACCATTCATTTCCACCACTCTTCATGCATGTTGTTCTTACACTGATGAGCCATAAGATGAGTTCATAGATCTAATTGCGAATTTTACTTGTATAAATTACTAGACATAGCATATTGCACTACTCGAGTCATGATTTATCTTTCAGAGTGAGCAGAGCAATGATACGAAGTCTGATGGTTGTTCAATAGAACTCCTATTCAGTTGCTCTCTTAAACTAATGATTTTGCGGTTCATTTATGTCATGATGCCGTACAAATTGATGTGCGGAGCAGAACCTAAAAGTACAGATGACTTGGATTGCTTCAAAGGCATGCCCATTTATGTCTTGTGTGGAGCTGATTGTAGGGAAAAGAGTTGCCTGTGGAAATTGGCAGATGAGAAGGAAAACAGGGATCTAAACAAAGACATACAAACTAAGTGGTTATTGGAAGGATTGAAGATGCATAGGAGGCGACTCTGTGCCTTAATGATCAGAAAATGACTAATGAATTATAGTATTTGAACCAAGATTGCCTGGGGCAAAATTTAAGTTGCTTTTATATTTTCAAAGTATGGATAGTTGGGAGAAAAGTGTCCAGTTCTCCCCTTCCAACGTTCATCAACTTGCCTTAGTTTTTGTGTTAAGAATTTTGTAATGTCAAAATATGAAATAAAATCAACAGTTGATATTACATAGCTTTGTAACACTATATAATTTGTTTTATTCGTGGATGGGAGATGTGTGCTTTTGGAATGATAACAATTTGATCTTTTGACTCGTGAAATTGTTTTATTTGTTAACATGTGAGATTAGCCGAGCATTCAAGACACTATAAATAAAGATGTTCATTATATTAATACTAAATTTTCTCTTCGTATCATCAAAATTTTTAAGTTTAATCTCTTTGTGTCCAACTCCAAGGTTGTAAGTTAAAGTGCAATTTTTTTTTTTTAAGAGATTTAGTAAATGTTTAACCTTAAAATTGTGAATATATGTATATACTTTTTTTTTATATTTATAAATTATTACACTTATGAAATTGAAATGGTAATTATTGATAAAAAAAAATAACACTAATCCAATTCATCAATCTAATGGATATAATAAAACTTAATATGATCATTATTATGTTTTGTCACATCAATTTATACTATATATAATTTTTATTTCTTTAAATAAATTGTATTGATATAATAATTGTTAAAAAAATAAAACAATTGGGAATTAGGGATTACAAAATAGAGTAATGCTACAGTCACTGAAAATAGTACACCTAAAGTATGAACTGAATGACGTGACAAAATCTTGACCGTTGAATATTAATCGATGTTCAGGATTTTGTTATGTTATTTGGTGTATACTTATGATACACTACTTCCGGTGATTGCATCATTTTCTTACAAAATATCTTTGTCTAGGGGAACGAAAACCTTGTACTGTAGTATGCTTCCCGCATCAAACAAATAATAATAATAATAAAATAAGCCGTTATAACAGGAATTGCAACGGTCACCTTTTCAAAATTCAAAATGAAAACGAAAACGAAAATCCCCTCAATTTAACACTCACTCTCCAAACCAAATTCTCTTACACACAATTACAAAACCCTAACCATTTTCCACATTTTTTTCCTTCTAACAGTTGAAGAAAGATCTAAATCTCAGTCCTAAAATGGCTGAAAACAAACCAGAAGCGAGGAAAATCCCAGTCTTTACAGTAATAAAGAATGGTGCCATTCTCAAGAACATCTTCGTCATCAACAAACCACCACCACCACCATCACCCTCCATCACGGCCGTCGAAAATGAAGAAAACTCAGTTCAAGACGATGAAGAGGAGGAGGAGGAAATCTTGATGGTTGGTCGACATCCAGATTGCCACATCATGTTGACTCACCCAGTAGATTTCACCTCCATATTCACTCTAAACCCTCTTCACAGAACCTCTCTGTCATCGATTTATCGTCTGGTAATATAAATCTTGATTATTAGTTGGTGATATCTTCATTTAATTTTCATGCGTTTGTGTTTATTTGGAGGGTTTTTGGTACTTGATGGATTGCAGTACACGGGACGTGGGTATCAGAAAGAAAGATTGAATCTTGTGTTCCTGTGGAGCTGAATGAGGGAGATACTATAAAGATTGGTGGGTCAACTAGGATCTATAGGCTGCATTGGATACCTTTGAGCCACGCATACGATATGGATAAACCGTTTGTATCACCCTTGGATGTGCCCGTCGCAGAAGAGAAAGAAGAGCAAAATCAAGTGGAAACGCATCAGGTGAGAGTTTACAGCTTACTAGTGAAAATGATGAATGCGCATTTGTTTTTAAATTAAATTGTTCTTGATGTCTTTTTCTGCTTAGATTATGAATTCAAAGTAAAATTTTTCTTTTGTAACAAATATAGAATGGTACTGGAAGGAATGGAAGAAGAAACATGTTGAGTGGTTAATTTTGGATGAATAAAAGCTAGTTGAAGGTCTTTGTTAAGTTGTTCTAGTTTTCACTCTGTCTTGGTTGAGAAGTCTGAGCCATTTGAGACTGGAAAAAGTGAATTGACAGGTTCATTGGTAGTGGAACCAAAAGAAGAATTGAGAGTTTATGGGTTAACAGTGAAAATGATGAATACCCACTTGTTTTTTTCTTTTATTAAATTGCCCTTGACTTTTTTTCTGCTTGGATTATGAATTGAGAGTAAACTTTTCTTTTGTAATAAATAACATGTTGGGCGGATAATTTTAAGTGAATAAAAGCTTATTTTGAGGTGGTTTTTAAATTGTTCTTCTTGTTTTCGGACTGTCTACGTTGAGAAATCTGAGCCATTTCAGATTGGAAAGAGTGAATTGAGTGGTTCATTGGTAGTGGAACCAAAAGAAGAACAAACATGCCAGGTGCGAAGATATGATTGCATGTGTACAATGTTAGATTAAAGTGCTTTTCGAAATGTTCTTGATATCTTCTAGTTTTTTCTGTTTTTACTTGGCATAGGGTTTGAATTCTTTTTCAACTGAAAATTGTGAACAACTTGAAAAGAAAAGTCATTGGTGGTGGAAGAAAATGAAGAAGGAATTTGTCAGGTGAGAATTTATGGTTGAAGAACTGGAAAGATAAATTTGATTGTTTGTCCAAAATTTGTGACTCATATTCTTCTTTCCCTTGTACAGGATGAGATTTCTATTTTAGTTCATGATAAACCAAGTCAATCTCTGGATTGGTTTTTGGAGGGGATTGTTTCCTTGTTTTGTGATAAAGGGATCAGAGTTGCTTCCGAAGACAGAGATTCCATTTTATGGGATTGTACCAGTAGACTTGGCTTGTCCTGCTGGGGGTAATATGTCAGTGCCTGAAGAGCAGCAAATTGATAAAGATAATAAAATCCCATGTCATGGTTCTATAACAGAATTTATGCCAGAAGCTGAAAATTTAGAGAGTTCCTTAAGATTAGAGAAAAATCGAAGGTTTACTCTGGTAAAACGGAAAACCAGAGTCCATTGCAAGAAGACAATGTGATGAAGAATAATTTAGAAGTTTGGGCTGGGTCTCTTATGAAAGAGTCTACGAATTCATCTTCGGTTTTAGGGGGAGTTTGATCAGAGATCAATACTGAACAGGTCCACAGAGAAAATGAACCCCTGCTGTCCGTCGTTATGCAACTATGCAAGAGAAGCCTTCGATGGACAAAAACTTGAATTTGCTATCGGCTTTAAACTCTGGTTGCTCTAATGAAGAAGGCTTTCCAGAAGCTGAATTGTCTGAAGCTGGAAACCACAGCCCAAGGGCAGGCATTGAACAGAAGGAAATACCAAGCTTTTGTTCTTTTGTTCTTGAAGAGTCTGTGAACTCGTCTTTGCCTGTTGGGGAAGTACTCACGGAGATTACGGATAACAAAAATAGCCAGACTCCACAATCTCTGTTTTATACAAAAGGAGTTGAAGACCAAGAAAACTCTGAAGTTTCTCCACTGAGATCAGATAGAAAGCTTAGCTCACGTAGCATTTGGTCAAGAAGAGGTAAACCAGCGAGTGTTCTACAGATTCAAACTGGTAGAAGCGGAGGAAAGCAACAAGAAGTCACAGTAAGGTTGATGTAGAACTGCAGATACAGGAGGATATTGAAAACAAATCAATTTCAAAGATACTTTTCGCTGGTTTTGAAGAAGAGGAAGAAGAAATCTTTACTCCAAACAAGGAGAATTTCTCCCCAGATACTCCGCCACTAAAGTCCTTGAAAAGGAAGGGTAAGCTGGAAAAAATTAAGCCTTCCAGGTCATATAGAAAATCCTCCTCAAAGGCTACTATTAGCCCCAATATCCAGCCAGAAGAAGACTTGAATTTTTCTTCAGACAAAGAGAACCAGACACCAAAAGTTCTCCAAGAGCAGAAATTAGCAGGACATGCCTCTAGAAATCTAGTGAACTTGGAAGAGGAGAGGGCGATAGTAAGAAAAGAGCAGAAAGGGTGCCATTTCAATCCCTTGTGGCAAACTCTTTAGGTCGGAGGGGATCAGAAGCCTCACTTTCTAATGCCACAACAAGAAGTAGTCATTCTATCAATTTGTCTCAAACCATGAAGGTCACTAATTCCTCGTCCATTGGAGAGAGAAGGAGAAGCTGGGGCATGTTAGTAGATGCCACTACTCTTCTAGACAATGAGTCAAGGAGATCATTACAGCTATTACAAGGTTGCTTTCTAGTGACGCCAGTCCAATAGAGTATCATGGCAGATATTCCTTCAACCTCATAGCTCGACCTAGCCGTGATGAGTTATCTGGATTGGGTCATGCCGCTAGAGTCCAATAAAGCAGCGCCACTGCCAAAGACTCATGCAGGTCGCACGAAAGCGCGCAAAAGGGCAAAAGCCTGTACCGCGCACTGCAGTGCACAAAGTAAGGGAAAACAAGTGGCGAGCAGCGGACCGAAGGGCTCCAAGGGACCAGCGAACATCAGTCATGCAACGGGTAGAATACCCGTGGCATTACGACTCGGCGACATGTCACAACATGAGCCATCCCACGCCAAGTCGCATGGGCAGCCACTCCCACAAAAGTGCAAGGCCTTGAGATTCTCAATATTGCCGATATGACTACCTCAACCGTCATCATGCGGGAAACCCCACCGTCTGCAGGTCAGTTCAGACCACTGCAGAGATCGAGAAAACTCCCCGAGCCATTTAATGCCTCCACACAGCCCTAGCCAACGTGTGTCAAGGTTCGTTGGAACTTCTGACCGAGCTGAGGAAGAGCCCGATTTGCAGTATTTCCTCAACCGCAACCGTGAGGGTCGAACCCATGTTGCAGAAAGTGATTATTGAGGAACTATAGCAAGCTTTGGATCAGCTCAAGGCTCAGCATAATGGACGTGGGAAGGTCGTAGAGGCGTCTCCCTTTTCTCCAGCAGTTTTAGCTACTCCTTCCCCATCGAGATTCAGAATGTCCGCGTCGGACATTCGATGGGAATTCAGATCCGCAGGATCACCTTTATGAGTTTAACGACCTCATGGAACTCCACCAAGTCTCTGACTTTGTCAAATGTCACTACTTACTAGTAACCCTACCTGCTTATGGCAAGTGCTGGTTCAAGTCGCTTCCCGTTGGATCAATCAAGTCTCATAGCATCAAATGAGCTCATCATTCCTGAGACATTTCCAAGGGAACAAGAAGTTCTTGATGCCGTTGAGCTGCTTGAGCAACATCCGACAGGAGAGGGATGAATCCCTCTAGTCTTACACAGATTCCATAGGGAACTCCACAAAATGGCTCATACTCTTGAAGAGTCCGTTTCGACTCTTATTATCGCGGGGTTCGCCCGCAGACATATTTGTGGAAGGAATTACAATCCGAGGATGATGTTTCCCTCACTTGCTTCTACAACTTCATTGAGAAATACCTCCGAATTGAAAATTTTGTGGCCGTTCTCAATTGCCACGACCTCGGTCCCTTGAGCAGTGCTCCCAACCAGGGGGAGAATAGTAGAAGGGCTTATCGCAGATAGGCTAATGACGATCAGCGGAAAGGAAAGAAGCTGCAATTTGAGCCCAAGAAATCTTATGCCCCAGTTCCTCGTCGCGATCGTGACAAAAATCAATATACTCTTTTGAATGCCTCAATGTCGGCCATTTTGGATAAGTTAGAGGAGGCCAACCTGCTCGGAGAGCCGGAGCCCATGAAGAATCCTCTCTCAGTCAGAAACAGCATACTGCTACTATCATCGGGATAATGGGCATTACACCAATGAGTGTCGGGCTCTTAAGCAAGCAATCGAAGACCTCATCAAGCAGAGGCGTTTCAAATAGTATGTTGATGGTCCAACTCCTGTTCAGAAAAAAGCATCAAGAGGAACCACGAAGAAGCGTCGTGTTGCAAGGGTCTCTACTATGTAAGGATCATCTTTGGAGGACCACAACTCCTAGGGAATTCTCGAGATGCCCGAGAGAGGTATGCTCTGGAAGCCTATCATGACCTCGTCAGTGTAATGAGCACAACCCCGTGACCCGTTAAGGTTCACAGGGAAGAGGAGATCATCTCCTGAGAAAGACGCAATGCGATTGCATCATCCCCATGAGGATGCACTCGTCATCGCGCCTGAAACAAGCCGGTGTGAAGTCCACAAAATGTTAGAGGATAATGGAAGCGTTGTGAATATCCTGTTTTAGTGAGCTTTCAAGAAAATTCAACTAAACGAGGCAGACCTAAAGCCTGCCTCCATTCCTTTCTATAGTTTTACCGGGGATCATCTGATTCCTAGGGAAACGATCTCACTCTCGGTCACGTTGGGTGAAACTAACGAAATGACCAAAATGATGAAATTTTTGGTGGTAGACTGTCTGTCCGCCTTCAATGGCATCTTGGGACGACCTCTACTGAGAAATTTCAAGGCAGTCACCTCCATCTACCATCTAAAAATGAAGTTCCCCACCTCGAAGGGGATCGGGGAAGGAAATGGATCTTAACGCGAATCTCACAACTGCTATATAAGAGCAGTGTAGATGGCATACAAGGGAAAAGGAAGGCTAATAGGCATCCCCAAACAGGCTATGGCGATCAGTAGGATCGAGCCACAGCCCGAACTTATAGAGGATAACATGAATCCTCGCATCCAAGAATGCCCCTATAGTGGGCTAGTTGAGGACTTATCTGAGGTGTCAGTTGATCAAAATGAATCGACCCGAGTCTTGAGATTCGAGAGTAATCTCAACCCTTAGCTCGCCAAAAATGTAATGCTTTCTCTCTCTAGCTAGTATACTTGTGAAATAAACAGTAAAACTCATATAGATAGGAAAAATCTATACATGTAAATGAGTATACAAAAATTGGGACCATTTCTATTTTTTTTTTCTTTTTATATACAAAACTATATATTAGCAAATAAAAGTGCTCAGCATAAACTTGGCAGTGGTTGCCAGACCCTTCCGCTGATGACGTTCCCTCCGACTGCTTCTTACCTCCTACCTGCAAAAACATTGAAAACAACGGAGTGAGCACTAATTGCTCAGTAAGTAAACCCACTACGCAACTTCTCTCTTTCTGTTATTCAGATTCTGAATTTCTTTCCTTACAAACATTTCTTTCTTCTTCTTTGTTCTTCTCTATTCTTTCTCTATTCTTTTTCTATTCTTTCTCTCTGTTCTTTCTCTGTTCTAGTTTCTCACTTTCTAGCATATAAGCATTACGAGAGAAACTAATTCTAAATAATATAAATGACATGATGCATGTGCATAAATGCATACAAGAATGCATTTTCTTTTTGTTTTCTGTGTTCTATGTTTTCTTTCTGTATTTTATTCTTTCTTTCTTTCTATTCTTTCTAGTCTTTATTTTCTTTATTTTCTTTCTTTCTAGTCTTTCTATTCTTTCTTTGCCAATCAGACTTGGTTAAGGCATAGATTCGGAACCTTGGCCATGTGAATGGGTACAGTCCTCATCTGCATGCACTTCTAACAGACTATACAATTCTTCTTTCTATTCCGTGGCCACTTGTTGAAAGCGGCGTGCATGTAGGTTTATTCTGTTGGTACAGTTCTCATCCATATGCACTTCTAACGAACTGTACACTTTCTTCTTTCTATTTTGAGATAGGTCACTGAAGGCGGCCCGCATGTGGGGCTATTCTCTTCTATCACTCACAGGTTCCCAATCACAACAACCTGTTCTTTTCTTCTTTTAGAGCATTCTTTAATAGCTTTTCTTTCTTTCTCTTTATTCTTTAAGTTCTCATACATATGTATATGTATGCATGTAGATGGATCATGCTTGTTATTCTTTCTAAATGCAAATGTTTAAATGCAAGAATGCCATGTAGCATAAAAATAAGTCATTCTCTACCATCTACAAACTCATATCAAAATCACAAGTGAATAAACTCATGCATACACTTCTCTTGGACATTTCGTCAAACATATTGCATGCACACTCAAACTTTAATTTGGCTACACTTGTACTTCTTTCTCAAACCACCAATATTTGCAGTAAAATTCCCTTAAAGCAATACTAAACCTAGCCAAGAAAATACACTCCAAAAATTCCACTCAAACTCTTTCTAAATTCAACCAAACTTCCTCAATCACCATACAACCAATTCCACTTCTCATGGCTCAATTCTATTCATCAATAAACATCAATCTCATCAACAATTCTCCAAATCATAAGCACATACATACATGTAAAAAGTCTCTACTCAATTGATTTCTCAAATCACAACTTGAGTTGGATTTACTTACCTTGAGAGTGAGCAACTCAACACTCTAATCTTCCCTTGACACAACTTTCTTTCTCTTACACCCTTGAGGCTTAAGATTGAAAATCCACCCAACTTAGACCAAAATCTATGAAATTCCCTTGAAAATTGATTGAAAGAAATTGAGAGAATTTTGGGTAGAAGATGGCGTGAGAGGCAAAGAAGAATGGCTAGGGTTTAAGCTTAATCTCTTAATATAACAAAAATTTACTCATAGCTTCCCATTTTACCCTTACAGTTTTCATGAAATTCCATCTATGTCCCTTAGTCAATTACCAAAATGTCCTCATTCCATTGCATTCTCCATGAAATTCTATCTCTTTTCACTCCTCACACTTTCAACTAATTATGGGTGGAATGACCATTTTGCCCTTGAGCAAGATTTTCCCCAAATTTACTAAAATTTCCAGGGAGTTCTTTGCCCCGGCGAAGATGCCTGTTTCTGCCATGAGTTTGGGCAGAATGTACAATGCCACGACGACAAACTTCCTTTGCCGCAATGAAGACTGCAATCTTTTTTTCAACAAATTTTCATGCATTCCTCTAGAAATAAAGGCATAAAGACTTTAAGACATAAATAAAATTTCATACCTCAATATGGGTGTTACAAAAAACCTGACAAGCTTCCTTAGAGAGAATGTCGACGTTTTTGCATGAACTCATGTTGACATGACCGAGATCAGCCCTAATGTCATGTCATACACTAAACATTGATAGTGCAGTCAGGCCGGTTTGTCAGAAGAGAAGAGCAGTGGACCCTGAACGATATGTTGCCTTGAAAATTGAGGTAGATAAGCTCCTTTTGAATGGGTCCATTCAGGAAGCATTTTACATGAGCTGGGTTGCCAATCCAGCCTTGGTAAAGAAGCCTAATGGCAAGTGGCTAACCTATGTCGACTTCACCGACCTCAACAAAGCCTGTCTGAAGGACAGCTTTCCCTTGCCAAGGATCAACCAACTTGTCGATGTCACCTCCGG